TCCAAGTCCCACAGACACACACTACACGGCTGCTCTGTGTAAGACAGGCCTGAACAACAGAGAGCCTTGAACAAGTCCCGGGTTTCCAATGGTCCCACAGGGGACGAAGCATCTCCAGAGACCATGAATGGGTGAACAATTACGCCGGACACAAGAATTTAGGTCTCCAGTACACCTTTTTCAGACTGGAATGCCATGTATAAAAATAATGAAGAAGGGATTTTCTTCAGAAATTGCTAAATATATCATGTGTCTGTAATCCATCTTTGAATTCAAAATCTCTATATAACTAAACATTTCATGAAGAAAGAATAAAAACAGCATGTAGGGACCAGCAGTTAACATAATGGCTACGTAACTGGACTCCCACGTAATAGACCGCGGTTGCATCCCGGACCCGGTGGCTTAAAACTCACGCCGGACGCCCAAAAAAAATAATAAAATTAAATAAAATAAATAAATAAATTAAAAAACAGCATGTCCTGTTAAATCTAGGAAATGCACCTTCCAATAACTGATCAGTTATTACTTAAACTAGGCCTTGTGACATTTTTGGTTACAAAAGCAGTTTTCCCCATCAGTGAGACTTTCTCCTTTCACATACAATAGGAGCTAGAAGACCTGATTTTTTTTTTCGGGGGGGTGGGGGTTGATTGATATAGGGCGTGTGCGCTCTCCAGAAAGACAGACAAACAGAGACAGAAAGCAAGAAATCATTCCTCAGCAGGGATGCCTAAGCCACAATCCCTTCTCCTCCAGTCTTCCCTCGGAATCTTGGGCATGCACACACACGTGCCTGGCGTGAATTTAAGCCACTGGGTCTGGTTCTCGAACCATGGTCGACTACATGGCAGTCCAGTGACATAGCCATTACACCAACGGTTGGTCCCGAAGACCTGATTTTTACACACTGTATGAGACAGGGAAAAAAAAAAATTGGAAAAAAAAAAGATACACTATCCTTTGATGCCAACATGTCACCATGCACAAAAAAAAACAATGAGAAAACTCCAAGAACTGAAAAATGCCTCCCTAGAGGCTCTCAATTCTGTATTCCAACTTAGTATGTTTGTCTTTGCAGATGTCTGTGTAATAGGCTGATGTGGCATTTATACAGCACCTTCTACCAAATATACCACATCCTTCCAACATGACTTCACAGTAGAAGAACAACCAGAAATAAGTTACAAGATTTTACTGAAAAAAAAAAAGAGGTTTAATTAAATGCGAGAGAAGTCTATAGGCGTCATGTCTGTTGTTTCTACAGTACCAAAATCTTTCACAGAGGTTGCCCGTTTAGACTACATCCATTTTTTAAAAGTGTATTTCTTTCATCAGAGAGAGAGAGAGAGGCAGTACTCGCAACAGGGTCTTGATACTACAATTCACCCCAGTCTCAGCCAGCCATGGATCATGGGCACACGTGCCTGCTGTGCTCAGGGAGGCCTCCAGATATGAACCTGGAACCCTTCCAGTAGGCCAGCCTCATAGACGTCACATTTTATTGCTGTACTTCTGTCCAGCTACACCCTTTTATTGTAACTTTCTCCCATTCACATTCAGCTGTTCATAACCTGCAACAACTTTAATGGGAAAAATCACTGGAAGGTGAATCAGGGCACTCTGGTGGAAAAAAAAAAAAAAATCACAGTCCCTCAGATGCGGTAGCAGTGGCTCAGTGTGGTAAGAAATTTGATCAGACAAACCTGATTTTGACGCCAGCTACCTCACTTCCTAGCCTCATGACTTTGGATAAATAACTCTAACACCAAAGCTTGTCTGTCAAATGAGAACAGGATGCCTACTTTGCCGAGTTATTTTCAAGATGATGTGAAATAACATGTCATATACATAGTGGATTACCTAGAAAACAGTGAGTTATTTTCTAGATTATATGAAATAACATGTCACGTATCTAGCAGAGTATCTAGTCTACAGTAGGTGCTCAGTAAATGCTAGTGTCTTCTCTCTTCCCCAGAAAGCACACAGATAGGCTTGCAAAGCAACATATTACACATGAGGGAACTTCAAAAAGTTAAAGAGAAAAATAAAATTCAAGTACAAGTTTAATGTGGTGCAAAAGACTTTGAAATTCATGCATAGATTTTCATCAATATGCATTTTCCATGAACATTTTTAAAGACCCCCTCATATAGCTATAGCTGTGAGGCAACAGAGGGTACATGCAGAGTGACCAAAGAAGTCAGAAAGTTCTAGAGCAGTCCCATCAGAAATGACCCGAAGAGGCATTCTCCATAGAGCAAAGACTCCGTAAATTCTATACCTACAAGGTGGAAATAACCTGGCCATGCTTGTTGAGTCTAGAAAAGGGCATCTCAGTGACGTTTCTTAGTGACTTCTTCATGAAAGAAAGAACAACTGCCTTTTGACATTCTCCACACAGTCTCAAGTGGCTAGACAAGCAGATGACTGAATGGGGATACTTTTAAGATGCCTAGAAAACTGTGATATATTTTTAAAGGTAATATATTTTCCAACTTCAGCTTCTTTCAAAAATTAGAAAGCAGGGAACCAGCAGTTAGCGTAATGGCTATGTTGCTGGACTCCCACGTAGTCGACCGCGGTTCGTGTCCCGGACCCGGTGGCTTAAAATTCACGCCGGGCACGTGTGCGAGCGTGCCCAAGATCCCGAGAGGAGAATGGAGGAGAAGGGATTGCGGCGTGACCATCCCCCCTGGGGGGTGATTTCTCGCTTTCTGTCTCTATGTCTCTCTCTGTCTGTCTGGCGAGCGCACGCGCCCTATAGCAAAAACCTCTCCAAAAAAAAAAAATTAGAAAGCACACCTGCTTTCCTATAGATGACCACCAGGTTTTGGTTTCTTTAAGTGAATGTTGACTCTGGCATGTTCAACATACTTGGAGAAAAAGAGTTTAAAACTCAATTTTGGATACTCTGAGTCTGATGTAAATTTTTTTTTTAAATTTGGTTCCAAAAATACCTAACAAACAATGCTTAAAGCTTAATAAGTGCAGAGATGTTTATCAGCACCTTAGCTGGTGGCTTCGGGTATTCTAAGTCTTTGGGGAGCTCCCAAAATGTCAAACAAGCTGGTGACTGTGTCACTACACAAAATAGAAACTTCCCATTACAGTTCTAGAAATACTTAAGGCTCTCTAGGGAAATTTTTTGTTTTCCCAGTTGATAGCTAAAAATAAATTGACATGGTTACCTATGGTAACATTACTATTTTCAGCAAAAAGATATTAAAGTAAGTAAGAACACATGGAAAATATTCTTGTTTTAGTCTGTGGTCAGTTACTCCTGTAGTTTATAATAGCAACTTTTAAAATTTTCACCAACTTCATCAATAGGTGGTTTTTACAAGGATCTTGCTTGCTCAGACACACGGGGTATTCCAGGGGCAAGTGAACAGGCTATACAGCTGGGTGTCCGATAGGGTGGCCCCTAGACACATGTCACTGCTGAGTACCAGGACAGTGGCTGCCCCAGAGGGCTAAGCAGTGGCACAATGGTAAAATATGAGACTCTGCAAGGTTGACTCACATCAGGAGGTTCCCAGTTTGCATCTGGAGACTTCCCTGAGTATACCAGGCACGCCCGTGCCTGTGATCCAAGGAAGGCGGAAGCTGGATATGGACTGTGTGAAGACCCTATTGGGAGTCTATTTCTTGGTCTCTGTCTCTTTCTCTGTGTCTGTCTTTCTCACTTATGGAATACATAAATAAATAAACTTTTAAAATAAAGCAAAAGTATAAATGTGGCTGGTCTGATCTAAGATGTGTTATCAATGTAAAATACACTCTAGGGTCTGAAGACTAAATATAAAAAATATAAAATTATTTTAAACTTAAATTAAAGCATTAATTAACAATAACCATTAATAACAGTCGAAATAATTAATCATTTATATTAATAAATGTTTATCAATTTTAAATGATTGATTTTTATACCATATACCTGTTTTAGTGATGATATTTTGGCTATTTTGATTTGAATAAAATGTTATTAAAATTAATTTCACTTACTTCTTTTTACTCTTTTTTTAAAGAATGATTTTTTTTAAACTTTATTTACTTATTTATTTTAATTTGACCAGAGAGGGATAGAGTGAGAGAGAGAGAGAGGGAAAGTAAGAAAGCAAGCCACCAGGTCTGGGACTCGAACCGCAGTAGGCCATGTGGGAGTCCAGTGCCCTTAACCACCACACCACCTCCCAGTCCCGTTTTGTTTTTTTTTAAAAGGGAGATTTTTACTACAGGTCACATGTACTCACTGGAGAGACAGAGAGAGATAGAAAGCAAGAAATCACACCCCATGGGAGATGGCCATGCCACAATCCCTACTCCTCCATTCTCCTCTTGGTGTTTTGGGCATGAACATATATGCACCTCGCATGAGTTTCAAGCCTCCGGGTCTGGGACTCAAACTGCAGTCGACTCCAGCAACGTAAATACTTTGCCATCTGCTTGTCCCCCCTTTTTTTTTTTTTTTTTTTTTACTTTTTAAATGCAGTTACTAGGACATTTAAAAATCCACTTGTGGGACCTGCAGATGGCGTAATGGTTACGTTGCTGGACTCCCATACGCCTGACAGCAGTTTGAGTCCTGGATTTGGTGGCTTGAAACTTGCTCAGGGTGCATGTGCATGCATGCCCAAAATTCCAAGAGAGTGGAGGGGGAAGAGTTGTGGTGTGGCCATCCTCCCTAGAGGGTGACATTTTTTATTTCTATCACTCTGTTTCTCAGGCAAATGCATGCACCCTATAGCAAAACTCTCTCTAAAAAACAAACAAACATGGGACCATCAGTTAGCATAATGGCTATGTCACTGGACTCCCACATAGTCAACTGCAGTTTGTGTCCCGGACCCGGCTGCTTAAAACTCACACTGGGCGCATGTGCATGCGTGCCCAAGATCCCGAGAGAAGGGATTGCGGTGTGACCATCGCCCCTGGGGGGTGATTTCTCGCTTTCTGTCTCTCTCAGTCTGTCTGGCGAGTGCACGCGCCCTATAGCAAAAACCTCTCCAAAAACAAACAAACAAACAAACAAACAAACAAACAAAACCTCACTTGTTGCTTATATTATGTTTTCACTAGACAGTGCTGAGTGAGGGTGTTTCAGCTTAGGTTATAACTTGGCTACACCAGGGTGACCTTCCACATGTCACTCACTGACTCTCTGCCTGGGTTTCTTCATATGCATTAATAAGATGTTAAGAACTTGGACTAGATGCCTTGCACAATGCCAGCAGGCTCTAACATTCTAGAACTCGAGGATCCAATAGTTACTGCTGGTAGAGATAAGACACAGGGCAGGTGATGACACTGCTGGAACTCTCATGTGGTCTAGGCTAGTCGCTCATTGTTCCCCACATGCCAGACCTGTAGGTGATGAAGGGTATTAGAGGAGAGCCTGGCTACAGCGTGGGGTTGGCTCTAGGGCTGGGCCACCTGCTAACAGATGACCTGGCTGCCAGTACTAACAGCATGGTTGAGGGATGGCATGTGGTGTCACTCAAGCCCAGAGGTCAGTAGGACAGACAGATCAGTTGCCCAAATGTCCAGAATGCAGGCCTTGCCAGTGTGCCACCCATCTGCACAGCACCCAAGAAATGCGAAACAAAACAAAACCAAAACTACTTTTTGGCTTTGTGCATAACTGTCCGCATCTGGAGGCCACCAAGATGTCCTTCATTAAGTGAGTAGATTGATAAACTGATAATAGAATATTATCCAACACTAAAAAGATATAAGCTATCAAACCACGAGAGGACATGGAGGAAACTTACATGCATATTACTAAGTGAAAGAAGCCAATCTGAAAAAACTACACACTGACACTGAATGATTCCAACTATATGACATTTTGGAAAAGGCAAAACAATGGAGATGGTTGCCACAGCTGAGGAGGGAGGTAAGGGGGGATGAATAGGCAAGGCACAGAGGATTTTCAGGGCAGTGAAGCTACTCTGTCTATCTCACAGCGCTAGTTGTGAATGCGTCATTATACATTTGTCCAAACCATAACATTTACAATAGCAAGAGTGAACCTAATGTGAACTAGGGACTCTGGGTGATAACAATGTATCCATGTATCTTCACAGACTATAACAACTGTCCCACTCTTGTGGAGGATGTCGATGCTGGGGGAGGCTATGCATGCATAGGAGCAGGAGGTAACGGATCTACTGTCTGTACTTTGTACTCAATTTTGCTGTGAGCCTAAGACAGCTCTAAAAAAAGTCTATTTAAAAAAAAATTGTTATTCACATTTTATTTGCAAGACCTAGTCCAAATTGTAGTAACCACAGATTTCTTTTTTATCTTGCTAGAGGGCATGTGCACTTGTTAGAGATGGGGGAGGCAGTGAAAAAGCACCCCTTATAGGGGATAGTCAAAATGCAATCCCTTTTCCATCATTTCTCCTTTCAGGATTTTGGACACCCTTGCACATGTGCCCAGTGTGTTTTTCAAAAAGCCAGGTCCAGACCTCAAATTGCGTGGTTGGCCATGTGAGATCCAGTCATCTCGACAAGCACACTACTGGCTGGCCAGCAACCATGGATTTCATGGTTTATCAGATGCCTTAAAAGCATTAAAAAAAGAACCAGCAGTATATGGTTATCGATTTCATCCAAAGCACTTTTCTATACTTTGTTTCCTGGAACCAGTTTAAACACCTTCTGAATTACTTGAACTGCAAGAATTACTTGAACTGCAAGATAGAGTGCCCTTCTTAGCTTCCCCAACCAGGTAAAGCATCTGGGATTCTTCACAGTCTGCTCAACCATCTTTCAAAGCTCATTTTCCACCATTCAATATTAACCTCAGGAAACACCTACTGGGTGATTACCCATGTGCCAGTCACCTGGGACACAACAGGAAGTAAGACAATGCTCCCGTCTTTAAGCAGCTTTCGGGATGTGGGGGAGCTTGCACACAGAAAGCCAAATAAGAAGACAACTGTGATTCCATGGAAATTCAGTGGTGAGTATAGAGTTCTTGCCTTAGGAGAATCTAGCTCAGGCTTGGAAAATCTGGGAAAACTTTCTGGAGGAAATAGATCCAATTTGGCTAACAACTGATCAAGACAAGGAGACAAGGGAGGAAATAGCCCAAGAAGAGAGACTGATGTGTGCACAAGTGTAGAAGTCAGTATGAACAAGAGACATTCCCAAAGACTGGAACTTAGAGGGTGAAGGAACTAGTGTCCCAAGATGAATCTGGAGAGATGAGCAGGGGCCAGACCACGGAGGACCATGGAATGGCCTTCCGCAGCCTAAATATAAGGGAGTGGATAAGAGGATGGGTACCCTGCCCCACCCTACCTAGACTTCAGCAGGGTTAAACTGCTTCTCATTTCCCAGTTGTTCCATGGTCTGGGCCACATTGCTTTGTATAACTTGTCCCTCACCTTTGAATGTTTCCTTGTCTTTTCCTTCTTTTTCCCATTTAGGAAATCCCATACAGACTTATTCAAGGGCATCTCAAAGGTGTCTCCTCCTACAGAGTTTTCTCAACCCTAATATCGAATCAGCCAGTCCCTACATACTTCTTTTAGTAAAATTCTGGAGAGAAGAGATAGAGAATGCTTGCACAAAATAGTTTGTTTTTGTTTTTTTTCTAGAATCTCCCCTTTTAAAGTAGCAGTGAGGTCTAGATAACAAGTCTGCCTTGAGAATGGCAGACTGAGTAAGTAGGGGACGGCGCCTCTCACTTAGAAACCAAGGCTGAGAGATGCTACAGGATCTCTTAAATACCTGAGCCGGGAGGCCATTGATACTTGGGATCTGTGGGCAACTTCTGCCATTGCTTGGAGGAGAAAAAGCTGAGTGAGAAAATAAATTTCTGCCATGGCCCTTAATAACTTTTCTAAAATCTCAGAATCAGAGCACTCTGTTCTGTCTTCTGAGTGCCTTAACAGACCTGTGCATCCTGACGACTAACCCAACTTTTGGTGTGAGCTAGTTGTAATAGGTCACAGACCACTCTATCAAATAAGCCTTGGAAAGGACACTAAAGGCTTTATATAGTAATTATTCACTTCTCTATGTACTCAAGTCAAAAGCAATACATGTGACATGGGTGGTGTTCTTCTCCTAGCCAAAATCCCCTGCAGACATGAGTAAGCAATCATAGTACTCTGCCTTGGCCTCATTTCAGCCATCAATGTTCCAGACTGGAATCCATTTAAAAGTTGAGTACTGTATCCTTTTCATCATCTTAACACAGCAAACTCTGCGCTCATAAGGCTAGTGTGGAATAAAAGCTTGCTTGGAGAATAAGTTATGATGATTATGTTTCAATCTGATTACTCACTTCTGCTTCTTTATTCACCTGCTAGCTCAATGGAGGCCTAGAAAGGATTTATTCTTTCCCAATTTAGAAACAAGTAATTAAATTAGTAGTGAAAGCTCTAAAACTGCATCTCAGCCTCAGGCATATTTTTATAACCCATCTCTGTCCTTCTATAACTTGTTCTTTTTTAATCCCTGAGGACATGTCCACATTTTAAAGTTTCATCTATTTAGGGTAATGGTTTCTAAAATCTCAGAATCAGAGCACTCTGTTCTGTCTTTTGTTTTTATTACAAAGCATGGCCTACTAACTTATTTGCAAATTAATTTACCAGTTTAGCCACAAATTTTTTGTGGACTTATATGCACTCCGAAAAAAAAAAAGAAAAAAACCTAACTATAATAGGATAACCTATAAACCTCAGGAAGTGTAAATCCTGCAAACTACAGGAAACCTGTAAATTTCAGGAACTCTATCTGCCACAGCAAAGCCTACATTGCTCTTCTCCACACTTAATGTTTTTATCATAACATGTCCTCAACTCAAGCTCCTCCTTGTCCAACCTTTGCAAAATGTCTTTCGGGATACCTTGATAGGCTACAAAGAAGCAAACAAAGAAAAAAGCATCTTAAAAATCTGGAACATACCAACTCCATTAACTGTTTGAGCTGCCCTATCTCTTCAGGTAGTGATCCAAGTTTGTTGTTACTTGCGATTAAGACTTTGAGAGGCAGACCACACAGGCAGGCAGGCAGGGCGGACAGCTGATTTCGACTGCAAAGACAATACAACAAGAACACATGTAAACGGAAAGCCTACTTCATACTGTGCACGTTTTAACGTGAAAGGCAACCAGTGTTCTGAGAAGACATTTCACAAGTACATGAAGTCCAATATATTTCTGTCTATGTAATAAAATATAAGTATGGGGGGAAAAAAGTACATTTTAATAAAAGAAAAGCATGGGCAGATTTGAGGGAGACAACTTTTTCAACACAAGGGATGCCGTCAAGGCCCTGCAGAAGCTGAGCCCCTGGCCAGGCAGGAGGTAGGTAGATAACACGATGACATGTCCTGCACAACCAATAGCAACGGGAAGCTGGTGCCAACCGTTCTCCCCGACAATGTGCGCAGGAAACTCAGCTAGACCAGAGCAGCCAGCACACGAAGGCATCGTTTCATACATCTCAGAAGTGATGGGGATGAGAGTTGTGCTGCAATTCACAAAACCACTGGGCCGATTTCCAGCGTTTTGACTCAGCTTCCTTTTGTTAAAACTAAAACTGCTTACAGTTAAAGTCTGTTTTGGTATCTGCAAGAGAGCTAATTAAAAGAAAAAAAGTAAAGCCAGCCTTCTGCCAAACTAAAACTGAAGCCCGGAAGGGTTTAAGTTCCAGAATAGTCAACAAATTCTGAGTTGAAGTTTCAACTCTGGTCTGCGTGAAAAGGTTCTGTACGCAGAAGTCTTTGAACTTTCTATCATCAAGGCTGAGCTTTCCAATAGATGGAAAAATGCTGGATAAATGAAACCTATGAATCATCCATATTTATACGTCAGCCATTTACTTCAACCTTCTCCCCCAAAACAAGTTCTTTTCCCAGCTCCCAAATAAGACAGATGGTTTCTGTTTCCCTTTCTTTCCCTTCCATTCTGATGGTGAAACCAATGACCTCAAGATGAAACTTCTGAAAATCTGCATGTCATGTTACTGCAACTATTTAAAACTTCCGTGTATATGTGTTCACATGCATGAAGCTTTGAAGGTTGTGTCCTGCATGCGTGTATTGATAGGCACACACATATCTGTGTATGCGGCAGAGGAAATGCAATGCTCCTGGCCCCAAAGTGCAGGGGTTAAGCACAATGCATCAGGACCTGGATCTGTTATGGACAACCGCAGTTCAAACCCTGGACCTAGTGACTTGAAAAATACACCTGGCACATGTGCGTGTGTGCTCTGAACCCTGAAGGGGTGGAGAAATGGAGGAAATAGGACTGCAGGATGACCATGCCCCACTGGGGCGGGGGGGGGGTGATTCCTCCCTCCTGCTCTCTCTCTTTCTGGAAAATGTTTTGAAGACTCCCTGTAGTTGTAAAAATTCATAGATATGTGTACTTATGATCTGTGCACTTTTCTGTGTACATGTTACTAAAAGTTTTACTTTCCCTCTCCCCTGTATAAAGAGGGCATTGCTACCTAATGGACTCAGAAACACCAGGTTCTATGCTGTGGGGGGACTCTTTCTAATCTGGGTACCACCCTATCAGCACCTTGAGGTCTCCCTTATCCAGGCATCCAAAGCCCAGGTAACTAGGTTTCAGCAAGCAAGATACAACCCTAATTGAAATGTGGCTGGACTGAATTGAGATGGACTGTGTGTGTAAATACATGCCAGATTTCAAAGACAGCACAAACTAAAAGAAATGTAACATCTCATTAATAGCCTTTGGTACCACTTACGTGTTGAAATAATATTCTAGAAATATCACGCTACGTAAAAGTATACTATTAAAATGAAGAAAAAAAAAAGATACAGCTGTATCTTGTCTCCATGATCAAGATTTATAAAGAAGTTATTTCCAGAAAGCGGCAGAGAAGAGCTTTCTCTAAGAAGGTGCAGCAGAGAGAGGGAGGAGATTGAGAGCACTCCAAGGGCCAGCTGGCTCTGAGGAAGATGGCTCGCCCTGGCACTCTCTCCATTCTCCGGGGTCAGTGGAGGGAGGGAATGAGGGCCACCAGCCTGACTGTCTTTCCTCATCCTTCCAGCTGCCCTTTTTCTGCCTGCAGAGGCACAGCGGGGCTCTTCTGGCTGAATGAGGGGTCTTTCCTGGTGCCCTGCTGGGAGGGCAAGCCTCCAAAAAGACTCCTTAGAATTCTACCCCTAGAAAAGAGTACCCTGTGTATTAAAAGATGGAAAAAAGGTAATTTGAAATGTAATATTTGATTATAAAATATTTAGTAATTTCATGGAGAGAGATGTAAATAAAAAGAAAACAATTCTGTTATTTTGTTACATTTGTTTTGGAAAATTGTATAGGAGGAAGAGAGATTACTATTTTCAGCAATTTCGACTCTCCTTGGTCGAATTTACATTTACAGGTTGAGCTCTTTCCTATGTTTATTCGCGTGGAAAATAAGTTAAACTGTTCTTAGTCTCACCACCTACATGCAGGCATCCAACTAGATCGGCAGATGGAGAATCCAAAGAGCCATTTATCATTTAAGCAATGTCCTCAAGCATCTGAGCGATGCAAAGAAGGCTCTGCTCATTCAGACACACGCGTATTTGCAATGACATGGGCTTATTCTTGCTGGAATTCTTCCAGAGTGGGTACTAGTTTAAAATAAAATAAAATGTAAGCTTTTAAAAGCCTTCGTGATCCCTCTGATGGGAATGAATGCTTTTTGCATTAAAAGCTGCTGATGGACTAGCCTATCTCTTCTGTATGCCCCATCCATTCCTCATGCACACTGTAGCTATTACTCATAGACTTAACGAAAGCACGAAGCCAAGAATTTAGTCATAATGCAGCATGCCACAGACCTGGGGCACAGTTCTTCTACTTCATCCATCTGTTCTCTCAGCCTTTATTTCATTATTTTATCACAGGATGTTCCTGCATTACTTGTAATTTCCCCAATAGAAAAAGGAAATACACATGCACACAAAAACCCATTAGCTCTCCAGCAAATATTTATAAAGGAGAGGAGAAACTACATTCCCTTTAATCCTCTACCCACTAAAGACCACATCAGCAGCCTTTGCTTTTTGAAACCACTCATCTGGCAGCAATTTTTCTCAAGCAAATAAGTGCCTTAGGCCGCAATCCACCATTCTACCCCCATTAGTTTCCTGCAGCAGCCTCTTTGCTATAAACAGGTCCTTTGCAGAAAGTAAGTTTAAAAATAAGGTTATATATAGCATCTGATAAAGTAATAGCCACCATGTATTTTCAATCTAGACAGTGAACCACATCTGAAAAGCAAAATTTAATTTTTATTTATTTATTTTATTCACTCATTATGAAAGAGTCAATTTGTAGGGAGAGAGGTTTTCCGATTTAGAAGCAGAAATTAAAGATTCAGACATGTAGCCTGAGCTTTCATGGTATCACCAAAGATGTACCTGCCCACGGACTCTTGCCATTGTTCCTACCAGGGTAGAGGACGAGGGCAGGGAGAAAAAGAGGAGAAAAGGAAAACAAGGGGGCTTTTCCACATCCATGGATATTGCAAATACTTCATCTTCCAACTTTTTCGGTTCAATGATTCTTTACTAGATGTTTCGTTTCTTCATCTCAGCATAAAGTAAGGCAGCTCAACACACTCTAAACATTGTTGACAGCCTAAATGTGCAGGATAAATTCCTCTTGGCTTCAAGTACCAGTATCCGTCACTTAATTCCTAAATTAAGGAATTCACAAACCAAAGCACTTCTTATGGTTTTACCTATAGGGAGTCTTTTCTTTTAAATTTTTAAATTTATTTATTTATTTGCTTTTTGAGAGAGAGATTTTTGCTATAGGGCATGTGCACTTGCTGGAGAGACAAGAGACCGAAAATGAGAAATCACCCTCTTGGGAGGATGACCACACTGCAATCCCTTCTCTTCCATTCTCCTCTCAGAATCTTGGGCATGCATGTGCCAGCGTAAGCTTTAAGCCACTAAGTCTATGATTCGAACCACAGTCAACTATGAGGGAGTCCAGCGATGTAACCGTTACGCCATCTGCTAGTCCCAAGAGACAGTCTTATTTTAATACATTTTGATGATGGTACTTATTAACTTCTGCACTGAAACCTAGCATTAGTAACTGACATTATTCATTATTGCTTTATCAAGTCTATTTCTGTTAAATTATAAAGACATGTTACATTCCTATATGTGATTACATTGTTCATTCTACTGCAATATACTTCTTTTTATTTTCTTAAGTGTATAGGTTCACAATAACATAACGTAAAACTCATTTTAAAAATAATTCATAGAGGGACCAGCAGATCGTGTAATGGTTACATTGCTGGGCTCCCATGGAGTCAACCATTGTTCGATTCCTAGACCCGGCAGCATAAAACTCATACTGGGGGAGTGTGCATGCCCAAGATCCAGAGAGGAGAATGGAGAAGGGATTGCAGAGTGGCCATCCTCCCTGAAGGGTGATTTTTTCACTTTCTATCTATCTTCCCAGCAAATGCACACGCTATATAGCAAAAATCTCTTTTAAAAATAATAATTTATAGAAAATTCTCTGTAACAGATTCAGCTATTCAGTTGGTAGCCTGATGTAGTAGAAAGATCATCAAGTATGAATCCAAAGGACCTGGTTTCAAACCATCCCTATGACTTTAGGAAAGACTTTTAATCTCCTTGATTTTATTGGCTAGAAAGCAGATAATGAGACCTACCCTAACATAAGATTATGCATGTAAGGGGCTTAGCCCAATGCTAAATCCACATATTAAGATTAAACCATATCCAACCACTAACATGGTAACAAGGTGACCAAAAACAGCATATGCATGCTTAATTTGGTTTTATTTAATACATTTATTTATTATGTTTAAATTATCATTACAAACGTACCAGTCACTTTTTAAATATGGTTTTAAGCCTGCAGGTGGCAGGTGGTTAAGGCACTGGATCCTACATGGCTGACTGCAAGGTTTGAATTCTAGACCCAGTAGCTTGAAAAACATACCGGGCACATGCAAATGCCTACCCAAAAATCCAGAGAGAAGAATGGAGAAGATGGGATTGTGGCATGGCTATCC